TAGTTGTGGCGTGTGGGATCTTCCTGGACCAGGGCTCGAACCTGTGTCCCCTGCATTGGCAGGCGGATTCTTAACCACTGCGCCACCAGGGAAGTCCATCATTTCTGCTCTTAAGTTGTATGAGTTCATTACATATTTTGGGTATTAACCCCTTATTAGATACATGATTTGCAAATATTTTCTCTCATTCTGTATGTTGCCTTTTCATTTCGTTAATTTCTTTTGTTGTGCAGAAGCTTTTTTGGTGTGGTCCCACTTGTTGATTTTTGTTTGTTTGTTTGTTTTTGGTACGCGGGCCTCCCACTGCTGTGGTCTCTCCCGTTGCGGAGCACAGGCTCCGGGCTCACGGGCCCAGCGGCCATGGCTCACGGGCCCAGCCGCTCCGTGGCATGTGGGATCCTCCCGGACTGGGGCACGAACCGGCATCCCCTGCATCGGCAGGCAGACTCTCAACCACTGCGCCACCAGGGAAGCCCTGATTTTTGCTTTTGTAGCCTTTGCTTTAGGGTCAAATCCAAAAAAATCATCTCCAAGATATGTCAAGGACTTTACTGCCTATGTTTTCTTCTAGGAGTTTCCTGGCTTCAGGTCTTACATTCAAGTCTTCAATCCATTTTGAGTTTCTCCCCCCCCCCACACTCGCACCACCACCACACAGCTTGTGGGATCTTAGTTCCCCGACCAGGGATTGAGGAACCTGGGCCACGCCAGTGAAAGCACCCAGTCCTAACCACTGGACTGCCTGGGAATTCCTGATTTTGAGTTAATTTTTGTGTACAGGAAAAGGTAGGGGTCCAGTTTCATTCTTGCATGTGACTGTCCAGTTTTCCCGACACCATTTATTGACGAGACTTTTCTTTCCCCGTTATATATTCCTGGCTCCTTTGTTGTAAATTGACAATTAATTTGTGTGGGTTTATTTCTGGGATCTTTATTCTGTTCCCTTGATGTGTTTTTTATGCCAATATCATACTGTTTTGATTACTCTAGCTTTGTAATGTATATAGCTTTTTCTTAAGATTGGCTTTAGCTATTCAGGGTCTCGTGGTACCATAAAAATTTAGGATTCTTTGTTCTTTTTCTGTGAAAAATGGCATTGGAATTTTGATAGGGATTGCATTGAATCTGTATATTGCTTTTAGGTAGTGTGGACATTTTAACTATATCTTTCCATTTATTTGTGTCTTAAATATTTTTCATCAGTGCCTTATGTTTTTCATTGTGTAGGCTTTTCATCTTTTATGAGGTTGTAAATGGGAGAATGTCCTTGTTTTGTGTTCAGCATTTATTCAGTGCATATTATGACCTGGGGTGTTGGGAAAGGTATATAGTACATATAGTATGTTTCTGCATTTAGATTCTGGTCTGGTAGGTTCCTGGTCTGCTAGGAAGACTTTTGTCATCACAGTGAGCCATCTTTCCTTCAAGCTGTGCCTGGGGGCAAGGGAGGGGATGGGTGGTAATGGTGCTTTTGCCCCCAGTGTCAGTGTGTTAGTGATAATCCTGTGTGGTGATAAGGAGCTCAGTGAGTGTGAGCCTGGGGGAAGGGGTTTGCCCACAGCATGCCACGAGCTGTCCTGAGTGGAGCTTTGGATGCCCATGGACAGGAAGTAGCGAGGCCTCCTGAAACTAGAGTTGTGTAAAAGGTAGAAGCTGACCTCTGCTGGATTACTTTATGCCAGGCATTGTTAGGTCCATACCATCTGTTTAGTAGAAAATCTCAGAATGATAAAATGGATGACATGTACTCAGCTTAAATGTATGCCCAGTCTTTTTCAGGCCTATAAGATTGGTTCTGATACTGTTCCAATATTATAGATATGGAAGGTGGTTTAACCTCATTTGATTAGTAGGGCTTTCTTGACTCTAGAATATTAGCTCTTAGCCGCCCTGCTGTGTTATGGGAGGAATAGTTTAGGAACAGCAGCACTTAGACTTTTGCAGATGAATGCTAAACCTTTCAAGGGGGTTGTCTCGTTTCCTCTTCCCAACAACTCTGGAAGGTTCTTCCTTTTTCAGGTGAGCAGAGTTGTGTGTAGCCACCTGCCTTAGGGTAGTGTGAAGATTCCGTTAGTCATGTAATAGCATGTTGAGTCCTATATCAGAATTAGCTCTTACTTCCTACTTTGTCCCACCACCATGATTTGGAGGTGGAGGATTTGAACCCAGAAGTCTGAGGTCGGCCAGAATGCTGAGGCAGGCCTTCTTTCCCCTCTTACCAGGCAATGCCTTGCTGCGGCGACTCGTCCGTATTGGGGTGCTGGACGAGGGCAAGATGAAGCTGGATTACATCTTGGGCCTGAAGATTGAGGATTTCTTGGAGAGACGCCTGCAGACCCAGGTCTTCAAGCTGGGCCTGGCCAAGTCCATCCACCACGCCCGTGTGCTGATCCGCCAGCGCCATATCAGGTACCACCTCTGGGCTCCCTGAGCCTTCCCCACCCCATCCCCTCTGATGGTTGCCCTCACTAAGCCGCTGTCCCTATCTCCTGTGCAGCCCTTGGAGGTGGTGAAGGTGTGAGCTCCCCTTGAGGGTGCAGATTGACCCCCTACAAACAGCTCACGGGGGAGCTGGGGGCAGCCTCATCCCCCCCGTAGCCCAGCGCAAGGGTCACTGCGGCCGGAGCCGTACACCTTGCGAAGGCTTCTACGAGGCGTGCAGGTAGCTGGACAGGTAACAGCCCTTGGTGTCCAGTTGCGAGGAGTCATTGGGGCTAACTGACTTGTGTGGGTGCGGCTGTGTAGTGGGCCTTGTGGAGCCGCTCCAGGCCCTGATCACCACAGTGCACTCTCCTGTCGGCCTTAATTTGGTGAGTTCACCACAGGCCAAGGTCTGTCACAGTGAAGAGCAGAGGCCAGATGGGTCTTTATCTGAGTACTCAGTTTACCCTTTGTAAATTGGGCCCTGTTCATGAGGCCCAGTTGAGCTGTGTAGTAAGTGGGTGGGATACATGCATACTGAGTTTCTGCCGCAGCCTTTCGTTAGCCGTGTGACCCATGGGCAGGAGCCTCTCAACGTTGCTTGTCTGAAATGAAACGACCCCAGTCCTTTCGGGTTGCTGCTTCGAAGACAGTGAAACTGCACCTGCTAATAGAGCTCAGTGTGTGACACACACAGTTGAGAATATTTGAAGTGTCTGGCACAGCTGTGTATTTGAAAAGCAGGTCTTGGGTTTATATGCTGCCACCTCACCTCATTCGCTCTGGCCTCGTGGGTTACTGCTGAATTGCTCTCTCCCTTCTGTGAGGTGTGAATGTAAAGGTGGATGCATTTGTGTGAATTAGGTGATGCCTGAAAGCTCTCCAGAACACACAGCAGTTCTTTAGGATCAGGAGCCCTTCCCGTTTATTGCTTCAGAGTCAGTGCAGCTCTATAGCACCAGCCCTGTCAGCTGCAAAGCACAGGCAGAGGAGGGCAGCGTCCTGCTTCCCTGTCCTGCTCACCTGCCGTCCCCCTCCAGGGTCCGCAAGCAGGTGGTGAACATCCCGTCCTTCATTGTCCGCCTGGACTCCCAGAAGCACATCGACTTCTCCCTCCGTTCTCCGTACGGGGGCGGCCGCCCAGGCCGTGTGAAGAGGAAGAACGCCAAGAAGGGCCAGGGCGGGGCTGGAGCTGGCGATGACGAGGAGGAGGATTGAGCCCACCCAGGCCCGCCAGGGCTGATGGAGTCTAGTTTTCCAGTCAGATAATAAAACGACATCCACACTTCAGAACTGGTGTTCATTGGTGTGCCTCTTTTCCTCCGTGCTCTGAACACAAGCCTTCTGTGGTGGGAAGTGCAGGCTGCGTCCTTCAGCGGGTTTCCACACGTGCACAGAGGGGCCGGGTTGGCTTTGTTCAGGTGCTTGAGACCACCTGCGAGATGGTGGTCCTTTTCCTCTTAGGGCTGGGCTACGGTGTCCTAACAAACATCTCTACACTTATCACAGCAGGGAGACCAGTAGTAGTATGAGGAAGGTTCTTTGAGGCAAAACCAGAAGGAAATTCTCAGCCACCCATTTGCATGTGGGGCGAGGAGTCATTTCCAGGCAGAGGATTTAGGGGAACCCTGCCCCTCCCCCTGCATTTGGAGTTTCTGATGATATTCTTGGTCCCAAGGGAGGTGGGCTCCCCTTTTCTCTGTTTGAGAAGCTACCTCAGGCAGGGAAGGAAGGGGCTTGGTCTCAGGAAATGAGGAACACTTGGCATTGAGCAGCTGCAGCCACAGGGCACACTAGTCCTGGTCTGGGGCATTTGTGGGTGTGATGCAAGTGTGATGTAAGAGGCCAGCTTCACAGTGAGGGCTCAGGGTTCTTTGCGAAGTCTGTGGAGCCTGCAGAAGAATCCAAGTCCTCGCAGCTACTTGGGCTGGGTGGTAGGCCTCCCTCACCCCAAGGTGTTGATGGCAGTAGGGTCCTTGAGGTCAGGACCCTTGGTAGGGACCATAAAATCAGCTGTGATGTCCATGGAGTTCTGGAAGCAGTTGGCTTCCAGGAGGTCTCAGAAGCTCCTGGTGGTTCGTGTCAGGACTCCAGGCTGGCTGGAGTTTGGTATAAGCATTTATGGGGGCAGCTCCTGGGGGTCCCTGGAGCGTGGGGTCTGGGTCCTTCCTGGGCTAGCGGACGGCGAGAGCATCATACACGCTGGGCTCTGCTGGGGGCTTCCCTGACTGGGGGGCAGGGGTTGCAGTCTCCCGTCTGAGGGTCGAGTGGTTCAGCTGGGCATAGGTCACATCCTGGGGAGCTTCAGATGCCGCGGCCTGGAGTGGGGGAGAGGGAGGGAGGGTGGTTGGGGGGCCCGGGAGGGAAAGGAGGCACTCCTTGGTGGTCTTAGTCATCAGGGCTCTGCTGGAGACAGTGAGCACTGGTCTCCGAATCTTTCCTTCCTTCAGTCCCTGTAGCTTTGAGCCTCAGGGAGGAGGGAAGTGAAGGAAGTTGAAATTCCTGTGACTGGTGGCTCGTTGTGTAAGTTTGGTGCAGGGGAGAGGGCAGGACTGGAGATAGGAATTGGGTGTGGTGTCATCAACATGGAGGGACAGTGGGACCCCGCTGCAGCCTGGGAGCGAGCTAGGGTTCTCCAGTGTGAACAGGAGCTGATCCTCACCCGTTAACCAACGCACGAGGTACGTTGCTGGATCACCCAGCCTGGAGCAGCCAAGGGACGAGCGAGTATTTTAGAATCCTCTGGAGTTTAGAAGGCATCCCCTCTGGGCCTCTCTGCAACCCCAGGATTGGATTTAGCCCCTTTGTGGGGGGCACAGACTCTTAGCCCTAACCTTCAGCCCTGCCAGCTCGACCTGAGCATTCAACACCTTGAAGGTCAGAGGAGACCAGGTGTGGGGTTGCAGCAGCCCACAGGGCAGGTGCTTCCAGAAGGGAGAGGCTGCCAGGAGTTGAGAGGCGTCAGGGTTCAGTGTCCGCTGGATTTAACGTCTGAACAAGGAGGTGTGGGTGCCCTGGTCAGGATTGGGGCAGCTGACCTGACCAGCTGCCTGCCGTCCTCCGGCTGTGTGTCTTCCACGACAGCATCCGGTGGGGACAGAACAAGGGGGTCCCATCTCTTGCCGAGATTCCCTGACATCTCACACAGCAGATGTCCAGAGAGGGTCAGTGATGTGGCCAAGGCCACACAGTATCAGATTCGAGCTCTCTCATCCCCAAGCCCAGAACCCTTTCCAACCACTCCCCGGTGTTCACTGCCCACCCACATTGTCTGGCCTTGTCTCCTGCCCCCAGTATGGCCCCTCTTCCCCTTACACAAGCTGTCCTCCTGGACGTCAGCAGCTGGGCTGGAGCTCGGTAGGGAGAGAGGAGTGTGAGGGGCAGTGCGGGAGCTGCGCGCAGGCTGGCCGGGGTGGGAGTCTTTGGGAGAGGTCTTGCCTCTTCTGCCGGCCTCTGTCCTCGAGCACTGATGCTGCAGCCGCTGCAGGAAGTTGGGAATCGCTGCAGGAATTTGGGAATCGGCCTCCAACCCACCCCAGAGCCCTTCTCTAGGGTTACAGTAAGATCCGCGAGGGCCTACGAACTGATAAGATTATAATCCCCTCCCACCTCCATAACAAAGTCAAGAGAAAAACCTAAACTATAAAATACAAAACTTGTATGTGTTTTCAAACATTTCGTAAGTTTAAAAAAATCAAAAGAATAAAATACGTGTACACTTGTATTTAATCTCTTTAGATTTTCTCATTCGGAGATGTTGGAGGAGTTTTCTAACCTGATTTCACCCGTCTCTTAGGTTTCCCTTTGGCTGGTGCCCTAAGCCCACCACCTCCAGGGGCCTGGGTTAGCCCGTTCCCTACTCACCCGACTTCCTGCGTCTGCTCTGACCCCGGTGTCGGACGACGAGGACGAGGGGCAGCAGGACGAAGGCCACTGAGACCCCAGTCAGGATGTTCAGGTACCATTTGAGACCTGGGGCACCAGTGATGTCATGAGTGAGCCCAAGGTGCCATTTAATTGAGCGCCTGCTGTGTGCAGGCTCATGTTGGGGTCTGTGCATTCATCTCCTCTAACTTTCACAACAATCGTGCAACAGTGACTGTCACTCCCACCCGCTTTACAGATGAGGAGACTGAGGCACAGAGGAAATGCACATGCCTCAGGCCACCCAGCCTGGATGTGGCAGAGCTGGGGTTGGAACCCAGGACTGTGGGCTCCCTTGTGTTTTTTTAAATTATTTTTTTAATGCTGTCGCCTCCAGGCAGAACACCAGTGCAGAGACGTGTCCCTCAAACCCAACCCCTACTCCTCTGCCAGCCCAGCCCAGATCTGTCCCCACTCTGCAGAGGCCTGGCATCCCCCCGTGGTGCCCGAGTGGACAAGGGTGTGTGTGTCTGGGAGGGGCAGGCGGGAGGCTCTGGCCTTCCTGAGCTCTAAACAGGGCCTGTGCTGAGGGCTCCCCATTGAGGGAGGAAGCAGGGCGGCTCCTCCACGCAGGTGAGCCTCGGACTCTGCGAGGAACATGACTCAGCTAAGATCGCAAGCCTGGGAAGTAGCAGAGCGGTGACTTCCAAGCCCTGTCCTTCCCTGACCCCACGGCCGCTCGTTGGAGGGCTGAAGCCCCTGACTTCAAGCAGGAGGGCGCAGACACCATCCCCATGCACAGTGTGGGAGCAGACGTCTTGCCCTTTGCAGTCAGGGAAGTGGGTCCCAGTGAGAAGAAGGAACTTTCCTCAGGCCATTAACTCAGGAAGTGGCTGAGCCAAGACCAGACTGAGCTCCTCCCACCACCACCTCCTCACAGAGACCCTCACTCACACGTCTGCACACCTGACTGTGTGGGGGAGAAGCTGATCCTCAGAGCCTCCTGGGGGTCAGGACAGGAGGGGAGGGCCAGGGGCTGCTTCTCCCCACACAGCCCACTGCTCCTGCCCCAGGATGGGCCCCGACATCTCCCTCTCCATGAGCCCCCACCCTTCATCCACCAGCCACAGAGCCCCGGGAGCCCTTTGGTCTCCCCGCATCTCTGCCCGACTCCCAGCCTGCTGGGACACAAGCTGTGCCAGGGCCTGTGATCTTGGTCCCTTGAGGACTGAGGCCACTGCTAGCCACCCGCTCTTGTGTCATTCTCTCAGGGTGAGGGGCTACGAGGATTGGGGACCAGAGGAGGATGGAGATGCGGGGGGGGGGCTCTGATCTTTTCCCCTTCTGGTCAGCCCCGAGTCTTCCCTACCACCTGGAACATGTCTGGACCCCAGGGATGAGGATGGTGCAGGGAAGGGAGTTGCTCTGGCCTTGTCCATCCCTTTACTGTTGATTCTCCTCCTTCTGTGACCCCCTCACTCCCAGCCCAGCACAGAGCTGGGGACAGGACCCTGAACTGACCAGGAAGACACAGAGGGCCAGGGCTGGGGTCCCTCACCTGAGCAGGAGCTGCAGGGGTCGCTGGGCTGTGTCATCAGGGAGGGAGAGGTGCTGAGTGAGCTATAGCACGTGTAGGTCCCACTGTGGGCTGAGGTCACAGGACTCAAAGTGAAGTTGTTCAGAAAGGGTAGAGCCATGTCCTGCAGACGAAGGTTCTGGAGAGGAGTGAGTGACCCCTCCTTGGACAGATGGAGGGGATTGGACCAGACCTCAGAGCCACACTGCAGGGTCACGTTCTCTCTGCTGGTTCCTGAGGCCCCCAGCTGGGCTAAGAGGGAGGGTTTCCTGTACATTCCTGGGGGCGAGGAAGGTCGTGATGTGTACAGAGCCACCCCCAACACACCCTTGACCCTGAGCTGAGGGACCACCATCCTCTCTCCAGGGACCCTCTCTGTGACCCCCTCTCAGCTGCTCTCAGCCCCTCTGTGTGGGTCTCTCTTATCTCCCGGCACCCGCTCCATTTTTCTCACTCACTCTCCCTGGACCACTGCCCTGTCTCAGTGTCTGCTCTAGGACCCCTCCCAGGACCCCATCACCACCAGGGGTGGCTCTGGGCCCAGCACCCTGACAGCACAGTCAGGACGTGGGGCAGGACAGGGGCTGCTCACCGGCGATCAGCCTGTCTCCACGGCGCACGAGAGAGCCTGGCTAGGCTGAGAGCGAGGGCTCCTTGTACACCCCTGCAGAGAAGGGACAGCGGCACCCAGGGGGACGCACACCCCACACTGCTCACTGGGGCTGCAGTGAGAGCTCTCCTGGTCCCTCCCAGGCCTCCCGCCAGTGGTTCTGCCCCGGGAGGCCACTGCCCCTGACCCCCCATCACCCCAGGGCTCACTGGGCACAAGGCTCAGGTCAGGGGTCCAGGAAACGGTGGGGCTGGGGGCCCTCACCTGTGACCTGGCGATGCAGAGGGTGACTGGGGTGTGACCACACATGTGCAGGGAGCTGGGAGAATCATAGCATCCGCGGGTTCCCCCACGGGAGGAGTTTAGGGGGCCCACAGGGCACACGGCCTGTCCCCTCCCATGGGTCCTCGATGTCTGGCGTCGGGCGGGTCGGCGCCTCCCTCCTTCAGCAGGTGCAGAGTGCCCGCTGCAAACTGTGAGCTGCCAGGGACACGCCCCCTCCTGAGGCCGCCACAGGGCGCGGCTGCTGAGACGGAGGGGAAGGGGCTGGGTTAAAGGGGGGCCTTCAGCCCGCTCACCGCAGGTGTGGGCTGTGAGGGGAGACGTCCGTGCCCCTGAGCCCACACTCTGCTCCCTCTGCCTGTAAGGACGCTGCCGCAGTGGGAGGGGACCCGGGTCCTCCCTCCTACCTGTCCCCACCAGGGGCAGGGGGTCACTCCACTCTGACCTGTCTTTCCTGCTGTGATAGACACACTGGTACTGCCCTGCAGTGCTTGAGCTCGAGGATTCAAAGGGGAAACTGGCCTTGTTACTGGAGTCCTGTGGGGCCTTAGCCTCCCAGAGTCCAGAGGGCCTCTCTCTATACAGACGGTAGACATCAGCCCTCAGAGATCCCGGAGACAAGATGGTCACAGGGCTTCCCTTGGTGACCATGACACCTGGGTCAGTCCAGATGGAGGGTTTGGGGAGGACCCCTGGAAAGGGATCAGACCTGAAGAGTTAGGGGTGCCCTTCTCCCCTCAGTTTCCACAGCTGTCATTCCCCAGGCCCCTCCCAGACAGGTCAGCATCATTTCAGACCTGCTGTGTTCCCCCCAGATGACCAGGGGGTTGTTGGGTTGAAGCAGGAGGTCTGGGGGGGCCTCACTTACCACGGGCCCTGACTCCGCCCTGGGAGAGAGTTCCCTGTGAGCGCCCATCCCCCAGCACACATCATAGATGCTCCAGGCCTGGTCTGGGCCCTGAGTTCTGGGGTCAGATCTGGGGCTGAGCACATCCTTCCTCCCCCACAATTTCTGCCCCCACTGACCTCCTGAGACCTGGGGTCTCTCAGCTTCAGACCTGGGAGGAGCGGGGCCCCCTCCCCGCTCCCTTCCCCAAAGCTCACCGAGGCAGAGAAGGGCAGTGAGGGTCGGGGTCGTGGCTGTGCCTCCCATGGTCCCCAGCCGTGCTGGTGTCTCACAAAGTCCACAGAGCCAGCAGGACAGACAGACGCGCGGGGGCTGACAAGGTGCAGGCTCTGTGTGACACGTCTTGGGTTCCTCATCAGCCTCCCTCTGCTCTCCCTGAAGCATGGGGCCGAGGAGACAGCAGTCTCTGGGGATGTTTCAGGCCAGATCTGAGGCTCACCAGATCCCCCTGCCCCACTCTGCCTTCCTGTCCTCCCTCCTCATGCCGAATCCAAATGCAGAGAGTGACGTAACACCCCGGAGCACGAGGCTAGAAGAGGCCCAGGAGCGGCCCCTGTTCCCATTCTTACTCTGCCTCTTACGTAGGCTGTGCGATCTGGGGCAAGGAACTTCCCTTTCCTGACCTCTGTAAATGCAAATTTTGTTCCTTTCTTTCATCAGCTAGTCCAGTAAGGCAGTATTTGTGGAGCAATGACCATGTTCAGTCATGGTGCCAGACACTGGAGATTCACTGGTGAAGCCGACAGATTCCCTTCCTGGACTCATGGGGCCCAGAGTACTGAAAACAGACATTGCAAATATTTACATGGCAAACAATTCAGTTATAGTCTTGTGAGACTGTTACAAGTTGGAAGAAAAAAGAAAACGGGGAGCATTGAGTTTCATTAACAGGTAGACGCCATGAAGCCTGGGTCCTGGTTGTGAGGTGTCCTTCTGGTGGATTGATGAGCAGTAGTTAGCTCAGGGGTGGTGGTGGTGGTGGAGGCATCCTTGACCAGAAAGATCTTGAGCTGTTCTCAGAACTGAGAGCAATTAGGCGAGGGCTGGGGCCTTGCCACACAGGCTCTTGAGCGCCATGTAAGTATTTTGGATTTATCTTTAAAGCAATTGGAAGATTTTAAGCAGCAGAGAGTTTGAACAGATTTCTATTATCAAAAGATTACCCCCATATAGAAAATGTAACGCAGGAGGGCTGTATTGATAATTAACTCTATTAATAGTAAAATTCCAACATTAATCTCTCTCCTGGATGATGTGGTGATCAGTATTTTAAGTCATTTATGTGGTTTTCTCCTATAAACCTTACATGAACTTATAACAACATATATTTATAGTTGAGTGGAATGAAAAAGGAAGGCTTCTTGGTCTGGCAGGTTGGAAAGGACATGGCTCCGTTCACAGTGGCCAAGGGGGCAGTCTGAGGAGGTGCAGAATTGTTCAGTAGCTCTGTGTATGTGTGTGTTTGGGGGAGACATGGTTATGTGTGATGAGTTTGGCTCGGGAGGGAGAGCGGCGTTTGCTGGGGCTGATCGTTCACAGCCTGGAATATCAGATGATGCGCCTTGACTTTGTTTCGAAGGTGGAAACTGTTGGAAGGGTTTTGAGCAGGGCAGGTTCAGATCCGATGCGGTTATAGGAAGAGTCCTTTGGAGGTGGTGAGAGCAATGAGCTGGAGTAAGGAGTGGAGCCTGGATTGGAGGACCGGGAAGGAGGCTGATGTGATGAAACACAAGATGTCCTGAGCCTTGCGATGGATCAGGGACATTGTTAAGAAGAGCTCAAGGAGCACAGTGTGTGGATTTGGTGGTTGGATGTGAAGTGCAGGAGACTGGGGAACTGAAAGCGCTCCCACTCTCTGCCTTGGTTGCCTGGAGGAGCCAATGGGGTGGTCATAAATGGGGTGACCCCAGGAGAGAGGGACACATGGGGAGATGCTTGGAAGACTGATCACGTTCTTTAGAGTGAAGCACAGCCCTGCCTCCTGACCTGGGACTGGATTTTCTTTTCCCCAAACACTTCCCTTCACTGACTTCCTTGTGCCTATAATTCAGCACCATCTTTTTTCATCTCCCTTTTTCAAAACCTCTGAGTCAGTTCTGCCTCCTCAGTGCCCCTTCCTCCCCTGGGCAGAACTCTTCATCTCATTCTGTGAATTCTTTCTCCAGGCATGGGGTAAGAGCATAGGTTGGAAGCAAAGATTTTTTAAAATGAACAACACCCAGGATCTGTGAGGCCATTTATATCATTGCTCTGCCAGCAAAAGGAGAATGATACCAATGAACAAAAAAATTTTTTTGAGGAGCTAAATACTGACGATTTTACAGATTTTTTTTGATGTGGACCACTTTTTAAAAGTCTTTATTGAATTTGTTATAATATTGCTTCTGCTTTATTTATTTATTTATTTATTTATTTATTTTTTGGCACTGAGACATGCGGGATCTTAGCTCCCTGACCAGGTGTTGAACCTGCACCCCCTGGCGAAGACGAAGTCTTAACCACTGGAAGTCCTTCTTAACCAGGGAAGTCCCCAGATTTGTTGAAAGTCATCCATTTACATGTCCAAGATGCTCCACAAATGAAAAATTGGATAAGGTTTTAAAATGATGCCCATGAGGGCACACAGCAGAAGCAAGAAGAACTACAATCCTGCAGGCTGCAGAACAAAGACAACAATCACAGAAAGACAGAAAAAATGAAAAGGCAGAGGATTATGTCCCAGATGAAGGAACAAGATAAAACCCCAGAAAACCAGCTAAGTGAATTGGAGATAGGCAACCTTCCAGAAAAAGAATTCAGAATAATGATAGTGAAGATGATCCAGGATCTCGGAAAAGGAATGACAAAAATGCAAGAAATGTGGAATGTGGAATCTTAAAAAAATGATACAAACGAGCTTATTTACAAAATAGAAACAGACTCAGAGAATAAACTTATGGTTACCAGGGGTAAGGGTGGTGGGGAAGGATAGTCAGGGAGTTTGGGATTGACAAAAAAAGAAATTGTATATCACTATATTGTATACTTGTAACATATAATATTGTATATCAACTGTACATCAATAAAAAAGTAAAATAAAATAAAATAAAATAAAAACGATGTCTACACATCACAATCATAATCAAACCAGTGGGAAAAAATTTGAAAGCATCCAGAGAAGAGTGCCAGGTTCCATACAGAGCAAAAAGGATTTGAACGATTACAGATTTCACATCAGAGACCACTATGGTCAGATTTATAGTTCTGAAAAACAAGAAGAGCTAACCTGGACTTCTTCTGGATATATTCTTCAGGAATGAAAGGAAAATAGTCATTCTTAGAGGAAGGAACACTGAGAGAATGTGTTGCCTGCAGAACTGCTCTAAAAAAAGTGATAAGGTAAGTTCTTCAGGCAGAAAGGAAATAGTTCTAGAGGGAAACTTGGAAATTCAACAATAAAGGAAGAGCAAAAGGTGGTAAATATCTAAGTAAATGTAACAGCATATTTTTCTCGTTTCCTCTTAAGTTCTTTAAAATATGTATGGCTGTTGAAAGCAAAAATAACAATGTCTGGTTGAGCTTTTAATATATATAGATGAATACATATAACAGCTACAACATGATGGGGAATGAGGGTGAAAGGACCTGTATGGTGATAAGGTTTCTGTGTTTCTCTTTAAAAAAAAAAAAAAAATTATTTATTTATTTGGGCGCTCCGGGTCTTAGTTGCGGCACACGGGATCTTCATTGAGGCATGCGGGATCTTTAGTTGTGGCATGCAAACTCTTAGTGGCATGCGAACTCTTAATTGCAGCATATGGGATCTAGTTCCCTGACCAGGGATCGAATCTGGGCCCCCTGCATTGGGAGCGTGGAGTCTTAGCCACTGGACCACCAGGGAAGGCCCCTATGTTTCTTCTGAAGAGTTAAAATACTAACTCTGTGGAATTAGGTGTGTGTATTATAATGCCTGCAATGGCCACTAAAAAAACAACGTGAAGATTTTCAGTTGGAATATCAATAGATATAATGGAATACTAAAATATACTCCAGAAAGCAAACAGAAGGAAGGGAAGGGAAACTTGAAGAGCAAACAATAGAGGGGATAAAGAGAAGACAAACAATAAAAGGGAAAATGTAAATATAACCTTGTCAGTAATTACATTAAATATAAATGGTGAAAGCACAATTAAATGGCAGAGATTGTAAGACTGGATTAACAGCAAGTAAGACCCAAGTATATGCAGTCCTCAAGAGGTTCACTTAATGCAATGGTATGAATAGGTTAAAAGTGGTATAAATAGGTTAATAGGATGAAAGAAGGTATTATGCAAACATTCATCAAAAGAAAGCTTACGTGGCTGCATTAGTCTCCTATTGGTGTTGTAACAAATTACCACAAACTTAGTGGCTTTAAGCAACACAAATGTGTTGTCTTACTGTTCTGGAGGTCACAGATACAAAATCAGTCTCAGTGGGCTAAAGTCGAGGTGTCAGCAGGGCTGCTTGCTCTTAGTGGCTTTGTGGTGAGAATCTGTTTCCTTGCCTTTTTCAGCTACAAGGGGCTGCCTGCATGCAGCACCTGCCTTGTGGCCCCTTCCTTCCATCACTCCAACCCCTGTTATCACATGTCCTACCCCTGATTCTGATCCTTTTGTCTCCCTCTTACAAGAAGCCTTGTGAATACACTGGGCTCACCCAGATTACCTAGGATAATGTCCCATCTCAAAATTCTTAATTTAGTCGCATCTGCAAAGCCCCTTTTTGCTATGTAAGGTAACATATTCACAGGTTGCAGGGATTAGGGCTTGGATATCTTTGGGACAGCAAGGAAGTGACATTACCTTCCTTGGTGGCTGTGCTGTACAAGACAGTACAATAAAATGTATCAGAGGCCTTAGAGCAAGAAAATTATCAGGGGTAAAGATAAAAAGGTCAATTCATCAAGAAGACATAGTAATCCCAAATGTGTGCACACAAAACCACAGAGCTCCAAGGTATATAAAGCAAAGACGGACAGAAATGAAAGGACAAGTAGATAAATCAACAGTTATAGTCAGGGACTTTGAGGCTCCTCTCTTGGTAAGTGATAGAGCAAATAGGTGGCCAATCAGCAAGGATATAGAAAACCTTGACTATACTATCAACCAGCTTGACCTAACTGGCGCACAGAGCGCACTCAGCCAATAGCAAAGTACACCTTTTCCAAGTGTGCATGGGATACTGGCCAAGGTAGTCTTCATCCTCGGCTATTAAAGAAAGCTTAACAGATTTAAAAGAATTACTATCATACATCACTTCCTTTCTGACCCTAATGGAATTTAAGTTAAAATCTATTATTAGAAAGCTATCTGGAAAATCTTCAGCTATTTGGAAATTAAACAACACACTTCTAAATCATCCATGGTGAGGAACTCAAGGAAAATTGGAAAATATTTTGAACTGGATGAAAATGAAAATACACTAACCTTGTGAGATGCAGCTAAAGCAGTGTTTAGAAAGAAAGTAAGACCAGCAAGTGCTCATGTTTAAAAAAAGAATGGTTTTTGGGACTTCCCTAGTGGTCCAG